TAGCTGGTACATTGAATCCAGAATATCGAGCACTCAGGGTCTCGTTTTCGCATGCGGTATGCCAGTTCAAGTGCAATCTGGGTCTTCCCAACTCCACCTAATCCGCAGACACCGACCTTGCTGGGTCCATTCTGTTGTGTGATCCATTGCTCAAGCTTAACAATCTCGTCGTGCCGTCCCACAAATTGTGGGTTTTTGCTGAATGGGACCATCCAATGACGTTTTCTCTCTGCAAAGAAACATGCTTAGCATAGTGAAGTTTAATTAGAACATATTTCTAACCTTCTCTGTGAGTCGGTCTCCAATACTCTAAGAACGTTTTGGCAGCCGAAGCGCCTGTTGCCGCCGCATAAGCTTGCCAGTATTTACTTTTGTGGCTGTCTGCATAGTCACACACCCCTTTAATGATAATGCAAGAGATGTTATCCCACACCCCGGCTCCCTCCATTTCAAAACCAATAACACTCTCTGCTTTGACTATCTTGTCGCGGTGCTCCCCAGACTTCATTACCGTATTGGCAGATGCCACTTTCCCAATATGCACGGATGCTTTGACTGCTTCCGTGCCGGCCCGGCGACGACTGATTTGTTTCTCATCACACCCTAGCTCCTTGCAACTTTCCTCCAATGCCTCGCTGCAAATATTGTCTGGATTGCTACCATCAAAGCAACAGCAGTTAACCCTTGAACCTTGACTGTAATGTTTGTGGTGGTAAGACGCCTGATAGAGGATATCCTCATATCTCGGGTGCTGCCATTGTGGCTCTGATTGCTGAACCATACCCAGATGCCGATACATCTGGTCTTGAAATTCAATGCGTGTTTTTCTTCCCTTCAGGCCAGCCAAGTGAGTCCGAATTTCTCGGTCAGGTCGTCCCAGAATATCCTTGACATCTGTCTTCCGCTGGAAACCACCCGGATATTGTTTGCCAAAATCATATTCAACCACAGCATCACTCACAATGACATCGCCCAGAAAGATATTCTGATCACTTGATAGGTAGGGAGCTCCGCCACAGATGCCAACCACCAGTGCCAGTCGGACTCCGGTGTAGCTGACTCGGAGGCTCGAAGCCACACTAGCCGCGCTGCCAATTCCCATTCCCGGTAAATAGCACAGAACAATATCATGCTTCCCAATCCTGCCATTAATGTATGCATTCGCGTCCCCGGGCTGTTTACCATAAATCTTACCCAAGCGGTCGTAGGTTTCGTCGAAAAAAGCCTCAACCGCGTCCGCCTCGATAGTCAGGGCGCAGATGATGGCTACCGCGAAATCGGATCGGCTTTTGGGACGCATATTCAGGTATTTTGAAGTTTATCTCAAAGATCTGGGAATTCCAAGTCGGTGAAGGTTCTCGATTCTGTGAAGATGATCAAAATTAAGACGATGTTGGGCGGGGTGTTGAGGTCTTTGGTCAAATGCGGCTGATTTGTCCTTTACTCGACAACTCTCAGCCTTGTCCAAGTTTCGCCAATCACAGGCTCGAACTAGGCGCTCTGGCAGCCTCGTAGCGGACATCTCTCATCATATGTTCAACAGAATTAAATGCTTCTAATGCAGTAAAGGAAATTTCCCAGGCAGACCCCAAAGAACTACATTCGTGTAACACCATTCAGTACTGTAAGTAATCAAATTAAGCAAAGCAACTAACTATATATAATATGGGCAAAATTTTGAAAGGTTGACATAAGATTGACAGATACAAAAAGCAATAGTTGACCGCTCCAGTTAGAGAACCGAAACTGTGTGAAGGAAACTCACAATAACAGAGTGCAAGAGCTGAGAAGGTAAAAGTAGGGGCGAGGCAGCTTGGAAATCCAAGGAACGGGGATCATTAAGTTCGGTACATTCCTTTATGTGCATTGGGATAGTGGATTAAGTCGACAAAAGAGGTTTAGTGGCCACGGATAGGAAGTTTTTCCGAAGGTCGCTCGGGCGCAGGGGAGTTTGTTTAGAGGGATGACTCATCTTCCTAAAAATTGTCTTGGCCTCGAGGAGTTGTCGTGATGAAAAGGGATCGGATCTGTGTCAACTACGCGAGCTGACTTTGATGAAGTGCCGGGAGTAGCTCGTAACATCTCTCGGTCTGGTTGAGAAGGGCTCAGTGGTATCGGTTGAGTCAATGTTTGGTAGACAATGTACGTTATCAGTGATTCTTGCCAATTGTTGGCTTTGGTAGCTTCGAAGATGCGTCCCACCTGAGGGTTGAGAGTTAGGGTGGGGAAGTTGACCCAGCGCTGCCCGTCTTGAAGTAGGCGGTGTTTGATGGGGCCCGCGACTAGAGCTGTGGTAAAGTAGGTATTGGTTGCGCAATCATAAGTGGACCTGTAGATAAAACCCTAGATCCCTAATCGAAAGCAAGACCTTCCCCGGAGAAGAAGAAGAATCCAAGATGATACTTGCCCGGAAAAGGAATTATTAGGAACGAATCAAACGAGCGCATGATCGCTGCAATCTCTATGCAAATCACGCCCCTGTTTTGCGTACGTCCTTGCGGGCTCGTCGGCTTGATCCCTTCCTCTCACTACGTTGGTTTCAGGGCACCCACCATGGTGTCTGGATGATAGTCTGAAGGAAGCCCTGATCGAAGACTCCGTGCCTTTGACAGTATAACAGAGCTTAGAAATAGCCTTAATATAATATTCTTACGTTCACCTAAGCTTGTAAGACCGAACTCCGGTTACCGCCAGTTAACCGAGTTATCGGCCGTCTCTATGAGATATAGCTTCCAGGGTGGATCCCTGAACGACATGCGCAAGAATAATGCCTGACTGTGCATATGCAAGTAGTATTTGATATCGTTCTTTCTCGGTGGAACCGACGCTGATGCCACCCCAACTAGTTATATTATTCCGCCACTTTTTCTATATGCATCCCTTTGTACGTCACGGTGGCGTTTCGATATAGTCTTCTCCTTTCCCTTCATTGGCCTTCTCTCCGTCCCCCTTCCTTTACGGTTTCTCCGGTGTGTTCTCCTTTGATCTCTCTCTGAGGCATCTTCTGTTTTCCCTTTTCAGCGTCTCGGTGGCTCGTCTTGGGTTCCGTAGCTCCCGGATAGTTTGCGCGTATGCCTCATTGAACCGCTGTCGCGCCTCCCTACTCTCCTTACTGTCTCTGCTTTCCTTCTCCAGCTCCTCCATCTCTTGCTTCCGTGCCACCATCTTTGCGATTATCCGTTGTGGTACCTACTCATGTCAGTATCTTATTACTTGATTGCTTTATAGACTTACGATGTCACAGGGGACTCTCTTTTGTGAGCAGTCGTTGCATTTGTAGCGTCTGTTACCTTTGGCGAATGTGCATTCCGGTATCTCCTCCTCTGCTTGCACATAAATCCTCCAGCCTTTTAGGCACCGTATACACATCCTCCTGCTGCTTGGTTGTTCTCTGGTAGGCGACTGCACGGCGCTTGGATGCTCTTTGGCTGGCGACTCCACGGGGCTTAGATGCTCTTTGGCCGGCAACTCCACGGGGCTTGGATGCTCTTTGGTTGGCGACTCCATGGGGCTTGCCTCCCTGCTTGACACCGGCCAACTCGGTGACTTTTCGCTGATCTCCATCTCCGATAGGTCTGCTGCCTCGGTGGCCTCTCCTCCGGGTGTTCTCTCATCGACTCTCTGTGTCGGCATTGCAGCTTCCTGCCATGCTTGCAGTCTTTCCCGTATATCTAATGGTTCCTCTTCTGGAAAGGTGATATGTCTTAACAGGTCATAGATAATGCCTATCATTATCTGAAAGCTCCGTTCCCGAGTGTCCATGTCGTTGTCTGTGAGGCGTGGTTAATGGTTCAGGTAGGTATGATTGTTGTGCAGGAATTTGCGGTGTGGTGTTTCTTGCGCTATTTTAGTATGTTTCTCCGTGGCATCCGATTATGGCTAATCTCCCCGAGCCGTCTCGCCCAATACTGAAGGTTTCGCGTGCTACGCGATGGTTGCAATATCTCGCTTGCTTGGCCGCCGCGTTCCTCGCTATATTGGCTTGGTTTACTTTTTTTCTTCGCTTAGTTCGCGGGCTTGACTTACGCCTATACAGAGGCCTACACTACTCTCTCTGTACGTTTCTCCCACTTATACTTCTATCTGCTTTGAATATGGATGATGATTCTTGCTGTCGGCGTTGTAGTGCTCGGCTGCTGTACCAACGCCGTTCGCCCCGCTGCCCTTCTTGCCTCGATCCTGTCTCGCGCGGTGTGCCTACGTTTTTAGATTCTCACCGTCACTGCTCAGATTGTGGCTCCCGCTTTGCGGTGTCTTAAAAGAGCGCTGAGCATGGGCTACGTCGCAGAGGTGACCCTCTGCCTTCTCCCTCTTCGCAGGATAGGGGAGTGCAAGCAGTGACACCAGTATCCGGACACCCTGCGCTAATACAGAAGATTTACGTGCCTGAGTATTCTAGAGACCCTTTTACTGTATATATATACGTATATCTCCCTTAGCTGAATGTTGATTCTCGGTCAAAAACTCAAACCCAATGCCCGCTTGGCGTACCTGAAGTTGGAGAAGCTCTCTAGATCGATGTGGATATGGCCTTGCGTCTTTGTATGCATCTGATTGGTTGATGATTAGGTAGTGGCCCCCAAAACATCAGGGCAGAACGACCAAAACAATGGAGCAGGGTTCTTCGTTCTTCGTCTAAGACCAACATTTCAGTAAAAAGCTGATTAAGGTCATCAACGAATCAGATCTCTTAAAACTATTGTCAAGATGCGCCAGGAGATAAAAGAGTGGAGAAGAAACTGGAAATCTCGTTTTCTCCACAGACCCAACACGTCCGAACCCGAGAAAACGGGAATTGAAGGTGGCCCCACGTCTCAGACTTCAGCATCCAGCCGGGATAGCATAAACCAGGCACAGGATACCCTTCATCTGCACGACTTATGGCAATCCGCGTATGACCAACTAGACCAGAAGGAACAGCAGATTTTATCGACTTTGGCCATCTCTACCCATTTAGAAAGCAAGAAGAATGGATGTTCCCAAACGGAGCTTATGGTTGAGAAGGTGATCGAGAGAACCAAGCAACAATATGAAAGTTACCAGAACGGGGGTTTAAAGATCCGGAGATCAACGGGCGAGTATATTGATCTTCGAACACTTTCACGCAATATAATTGATGCGGCATTGTCCTTCAAAGATATTATTAGCGCCGTGGTGGCCTATGATCCTACTCACCATGCCGCAAGCGCTTGGGCTGTGGTGTCACTCGGTTTGACGGTAAGGCATCGTGAACATGAATTAATAGACGAGCAACTCTAATGAGTAATCTGAACGATAGATAGCCAAAAACCGCTTGGACCTCCGTGATGCTTTGTTTGGATCTTCAGAGTATTTGGCGGATGTCCTTACCCGATGTGCCTATGTTGAAGAAAAGATCTACCGCAACGACTCTAATGAAAGAGCCGAAATAGGACACGCAATTATCAATGTCTATAAAAGAATCCTCCAGTACGCAGCAGAGGTCTTGACTACTCAGGAATATAGTATAGGAAGAAGGATACAGGACAGTGTCACTGCAATCACCAAGCAACGCCTTGTAGAGTTTCAATCCTCTGTTAAGGAAGAAGAGCAATATCTGCATCAATGGGTCCAGCTGGATCAGTATTTGCACCACAATAAAGAAGCGGACCGTCTTTTGACCCAATGCAACGAAATAATAGGGTCTCTTCAAACTCTTATCCAGAAGTTCAGTTTACCTATTGCAGAAGGAGCCTTGTATGACTCCTATGATAATCAACATAAAGACAGATGCCTTCCAAAAACCCGCACTGAGCTTCTTCACCAAGTTACAGAGTGGGGTGAGTCACCGCATAGCAAATGTATATTTTGGTTAAATGGCATGGCAGGAACGGGAAAGTCCACCATCGCTAGAACAGTCGCTCAATCGTTTAGAGAGAAGGGACTACTCGGAGCAAGCTTCTTCTTCAAAAAGGGAGAAGCGGATCGGGGTAATGCAAAAAGATTTATATCAACAGTTACCAAACAATTGATCTGCTGTCATCGTCGGCTAGCACCAGATATTATGGCTGCAATTGATAACGATCCGGATATTTCCACAAAAGCTCTTAGTCAACAATTTGACAAACTTCTCCTTCAACCACTACTGAAGTTGGAATTAAATGAGCCTACTTCGACGGTGATTGTGATTGACGCATTAGATGAGTGTGAACAAGAGAAGGATATAAGAGTTCTACTCCAGCTTTTGCCGCAGGTGCAAAAGTCTAAAGATCTGCGTCTGCAGATATTTTTGACAAGCAGACCTGAGCTGCCCATTCGGCTTGGCTTTCAGCAAATCCAGGAACATCAGGACCTGGTGCTTCACAAGCTTCCCAATTCAGTCATTGAAGGCGACATACGGCTATTCCTCCAACATCAACTGGGAAAAATACAGAAGGAGCATTCATTGTCCCCTGGTTGGCCAGGTGAGGATATCATTGATATTTTAGTAGCGAAGTCCGTTCCTCTCTTTATCTTTGCCGCCACTCTATGTCGCTTTATCGGTGATGGGAAACAGCGTCCAGAAAAGCGGCTGGCAGCCCTTCTCCAGTCTAGGGCAGTCGCACCAGCATCCCATATGGAGAGGATATACCAGCCAGTGTTGGAGCAACTTCTCAATCCCCAAGATATGGAGGATTCAAAGGAGATTCTGAGAGAGTTTCGGGATATAGTTGGCGTTATCATTCTTCTGGCTTCCCCGCTCAAAGTCCATACGCTTGGAAAGCTGCTTTCTTTACCGGAGGACGATATCTGCCACCTATTAGATAAATTACGTTCCGTTCTTAGTATTCCGGAGAATACCACGGATGCACCAATTCGCACCCTGCACTTGTCATTCCGGGAATTTCTTCTTCATACAGAGAGTGTCTTCCATATTAATGAGAAGAAAACGCAGCAACAGATTGCATTACACTGTCTTCGTGTCATGGAGCTCAACCTCAAGCACAATATCTGCGGTCTATCAAGTTATGGAACACAACGTGAAGAAATTGAGAGTCAAATTATTAACAAGTGTCTCCCGGTAGAGCTGCAATACTCCTGCCGCTATTGGGTGTATCATCTCGAGCATAGCAGAAGCCAGGTACATAAAGCAGAAGTGCTTCCATTTTTGAAAAAGCACTTTCTCCACTGGATAGAGGCAATGAGCTTGATGGGCTTGATATCGGAGGTTATCAATATAATAAGTATGTTGCAGTCAATCACAAGAGTAAGTCTGCATAATCCTTTATGAAATAATAACTAATCTTAGAAATATAGAGCGACTTGTCTTCCGAGCTTTTATTATTCTTGCATGATGCCAAGCGGTTTGTTCTCAAAAATAGTTATATTTGCAACAATTACCCCCTCCAGTTATACTGCTCTGGACTTGCGTTTGTGCCTACATGCAATATAATAAGGAAGGTGTTCCAAGAAAGCCAAAGATGGATATATACCTTACCACAGGTTGAAAAGGTATGGAGCGCAGAGCTGCAAACCCTAGAGGGCCATTCTGGCTCAATTTACTCAGTGGCCTTCTCCCCGGACAGTCAGACAGTTGCCTTCGGCTCCCGTGATAAGACTATCAAGCTTTGGGATGCCCAGACCGGCCAGCAGCTGCGTACATTAGAGGGCCATTCTTACTGGGTTAACTCAGTGGCCTTCTCCCCAGATAGCCAGATAATCGTCTCTGGCTCCCGTGACAAGACTATCAAACTCTGGGATGCCACGGTTGGCCGGCAGCTATATACTTTGCAAGGCCATTCTGACTCGATTTACTCGGTAGTCTTCTCCCCCGATGGTCAGACAATCGCCTCTGGCTCCGCTGATAAGACTATTAAGCTCTGGAGTACTAAGACCGGTCAGCTTCTGCGTACCCTGGATGGCCATTCTGACTCAGTTAACTCGGTGGCCTTCTCTCCAGACGGCCAGATCGTCGCCTCCAGCTCAGATGACGAGACGATTAAGCTTTGGGATACTAAGACCGGTCAGCTGCTGCGTACCCTGGAGGGCCATTCCCACTACATCAACTCGGTGGTCTTCTCTTCGGACGGCCAGACAATCGCCTCTGGCTCCTATGATGATACTATTAAGCTCTGGGACACCAAGACCGGTCAGCAGCAACGTACCCTGGGGGGTCATTCTGACTTAGTTCGATCAGTGGCCTTCTCCGCAGCCGGTCCGATAGTTGCCTCTGGCTCCTATGATAAGACTATCAGGCTCTGGAACTCCAAGACCGGCCAGCAGCTACACACCCTAGAGGGTCACTCTGACTGGGTTAACTCGGTAGCTTTATCCCCGGACGGCCAGACTGTTGCCTCTGGCTCCCGTGACAAGACTATCAAGCTCTGGGACACCAAGGCCGGTCAGCAGCTACGGACCCTAGATAGTCACTCCAGCTGTGTTAGCTCGGTAGCCGTCTCCCAGAATGGCCAGATAGTTGTTTCTGGCTCCCGTGACAAGACTATTAAGCTCTGGGATGCTAAGACCGGTCAGCAGCTGCACACCCTAGAGGGTCACTCTGACCGGATTAGTTCGGTAGCTCTCTCCCCGGATGGGCAAACAGTCGCCTCCGGCTCCTCTGATAAGACTATTAAGCTCTGGGATACTAAGACTGGTCAACTACTACGCACCCTAGAGGGCCATTCTGACCGGGTTATTTCGGTGGCATTCTCCCCGGACGGCCAAACGGTCGCCTCCAGCTCGGATGACGAGACAATCAAGCTCTGGGATGCCAAGACCGGTCAGCTGCTGCGCATCCTGGAGGGCTATTCTGATTCGGTTAGCGCGGAGACAGTCTTCGTGGAGGGCCAGACGTTGAGCTTCCCAATATCTGTTGAGGATGACTGGGTGACCATTGTGGCAGAAAAGATATTGTGGCTCCCTTCTACCTATCGCCAATTTTCCTGTTTTGGCGCCAACGGGGGTACACTTGCCCTTGGGTATGCAGATGGACGAGTGTGCATCATGGGGTTTCGTGCACCTACTGTGTAGTCATTTTCACATTATTACTTTCTATTATCTCTATTATCTAATCTAATTTAAAGAAGGGTTTGGGTTCAACGTTCTCTTTATACTCTTAGTACTTTAGTTAACATGAGACTTTGGCATGCTCCCTTCAATTCTAGTATGCTGTGGTAATTGGCCATACTCTAGCGTCTTGCTACTATAAACTGCCCAGTAAAATGTTAATTCCTTACTATTACCTATGATAAATATAGATATTCAGAGATGATGTGAATTTCTAGTCATCTTTCTTGGAAGGATACAGTATCCTGGACCTAACATATGTTCCAGAAATACACGAAAAGGGTTTAGATATTCTGATTCTCCACCAATTGAGAGGAGGCGGGAAAGGCACCCGCAACCTTTAATTGATTGTGGTTGAGCGGTGGCAGAGGGCAGAATGTCCGACGGATGTCCTGATGGCAGATGCAGAGGGGCTCCTGACTAGACACATAGCGGGGTACTGAAGGAATGGAGTTCGATTCCTCTAAAACAACTCCCTGTGCCAAGCCGACAACAAGAAGATGGTTGTCATCAGCTGACATACTGGGAAGGAGACTTGTCTTCCCTTCATGTAAGGAACCTTGTGAGAGCTGCGTTACGAGGTTATCATAGATGTCTACTTTAAATCAATCTCTATGCCTAGAACAGACAATCATGCCATTCCATTATGTTCAAAATGGTATTGTGGACAAGTGTTCCTTAACTCTGAACTGAATAGAGGTTTGGACCATGTTGAGGATATGATTCGTCACATGTCCGAGTCAGTCAGCCGCGCCAGCTCATAAGACAGCCTCGCGCTCATCCCCCCAAAAAGCTGATTGTGCCTTCCCTGCTTGCATTCAAACGACTTGCAGTTCTGTGTTTATATTGCCAAGAAATAATATTCTGCGATTATTTTGTCTATTATGAAATATCCTAGTACAAAGCTTCCCTGTTTGGCATAATCTGCGATGCCGCGGTTGGAAAATGGCAACCATGAAACTTTCTCATCACGACTACACCGTTGCCTGGGTTTGCGCGTTGCCGCTGGAGATGACAGCTGCGAAACTAATGCTCGAGGAGATTCATGAGCCCCTTCCTCAACCTCCGACCGATCCTAACGCCTATACACTTGGTAAACTGGGGGAACACAATGTCGTTATCGCCTGCTTGCCCTCAGGTGTTTATGGGACTACATCCGCTACAGCTGTCATAGCTAAGATGCATTCAACATTCCCGTTCCTAAGATTTGCCTTGATGGTGGGTATTGCGGGTGGTGTACCCAGCGAAAGCGCCGATGTTCGTCTTGGGGATGTGGTAGTTAGCATACCATCAGGTACTTCAGGAGGTGTGGTGCAATATGATTTTGGGAAGACACTGCCCGATGGACGCTTTCAACGCACCAGCTCGCTCAACAAGCCCCCCCAGTTATTACTCAACGCTGTATCCAAAGTGCGCGGCGATTATCCGCTCACGGAGGCAGACATTGATGGGATTATTTCCCGTATACTGAACGTAAATGAGAGGCTAAGACAACAATTCTCACGACCTCATAGAGACTGGCTATTTAATGCAGAATACATACATGAAAGCAATCATCCTGATTGCTTGGAATGTGACCAGACCCAGTTAGTGAAACGAGTATCCCGAAACTCTTCCGAGCCTCATATTCATTACGGTCTGATTGCGTCTGCAAATCAAGTTATGAGGGACGCAAAAACACGAGACTCTCTTGCCCAAGACTTAAACATTCTTTGCTTTGAAATGGAGGCAGCTGGACTCATGGATCAGCTCCCTTGCTTGGTGATCCGAGGCATCTGTGACTACTGCGACTCTCATAAGAATAAAGAATGGCAGGGATACGCAGCGCTTGCCGCTGCTACTTATTCTCGGCTCCTTCTGGCAGTTGTCCCGTCTCAAGACAACATTAGCCACAAAAATCACGCGTTAGCTCAACAGAACGAAACAATAAAAAGAAGACAGATAGCTGCTCTGAAAAGCCTTTACGTGTCACTCTATCGAGACCAAAAAAACCGGAACCCTGATCGAATCCCGGGAACTTGTGAATGGTTCATCTCACATCCGATCTTTCAGGAATGGGAATCAAGTAAAACATCACGACTGCTTTGGGTCTCTGCAAATCCTGGATGTGGCAAGTCTGTCCTTGCCAAATACCTCGCAGATTCCATTCTCATACGCGGTGTTTCCCGAACAGTTGGTTATTTCTTTTTCAAAGATGACTTTGAAGACCAAAGGAGTATCACAAATGCGCTATGCTGTATACTTCACCAACTCTTTGACCAGAGGCGTGACCTGCTGACTGAAACCATACTTGAACGATTTGAAATGAATGAAAGGGTCACCGGCTCATTCAGCGAGCTCTGGAACATTCTTATCAAAGTTACCAGTGAGGAAAATACCGGGGACGTCGTTTTTCTTTTGGACGCCTTGGACGAATGTGAACAGCATGGATGTTCCCAATTTATGGAAGCTTTGTGCAGGCTTTATACAAATGAGAGTCAACATAATCTCAAACTCAAATTCCTGATCACTAGTCGCTCCTATAGTCACATCCGACAAGGCTTTCAACCTCTTAACTTACCTGGACAGCCTGCCATTCATCTTAGTGGAGAAAGCGATCGTGAAACGAAGAAAATTTCTCAAGAGATTGATATTTTCATTGAAGCTAAAGTCAATGACGTACAAGATCGACTACAGCTCACAGATAATGAGCGCGACATGTTGCGTGAAAGCCTGACTCGTGTCACTCATAGGACATATCTCTGGGTCTACCTTACTTTGGAGGGCTTGGTCCAAAATAAGGACTATATTGACGAAAGAGGAATTGTTGAGGCTACTTCTCATCTCCCAAAGACTATTGATGAGGCATATGAACGGATCCTGGCAAGGAGTACTGACTTTCAAAAAGCCAAGAAACTACTTTACATTGTGGTTGGAGCCATGCGGCCCGTAAGCCTCAAGGAAATGAATTTCGCGCTGGCTCTGAAGAAGGGTCAACGTTCTTATACCAATCTCACTCTCGAACCGGAAAATCGTTTTCGTGAGGTGATCCGGTCTATATGTGGACTCTTTATTATGATTGTGGATTCCAAAATTTATCTCCTACACCAAACAGCAAGGGAGTTTTTGGTCGCTGGGGAGCGGATGGTTGATGATATTAATCGATCTTTTGAATGGAGACATTCTCTTCGATTGCAAGACTCACACTGCCTCCTTGCCAATATCTGCATCCAACATCTGCTTTTCACTGATCTCGAGAAGACTCCATCATCTGTAGAGGTCGGACTTAGTCGCGATCATTCTGTCTTTCTGGACTACTCTGCTACGTATTGGACGACTCATCTATTGGAGTCAAAACTCAAACTAGAGGGCATGCTACCAGACCTTAATATAATTTGTGATGCCAGTACAATGCGCTGCCAAACCTGGCTTCACATTTATTGGGCTTCTTTAAATACAGAGTTCCCTACTGGTTTCACCACTCTCATGGTTACATCATATTTTGGGCTTACGCCCGTCACCAAACATTGGATTAAAGCCGACGGAATTGACTTGGACGCCAGAGATCATGTGTATGGACGGTCTGCACTATCGTGGGCAGCAGGGAATGGCCATAGTGGTATTGTGAAACTCTTGACCCAAAGGTCTTGGAAAAGATTCTTTCAAGCAAGGGCGTATGTTGACTTAGCAGATAAGCATAACCGGACTCCGCTGTCGTGGGCAATCTTGAATGGTCATGAGGAAGCAGCTCGTGTACTGTTTAGGGCTGGATCTGACATTAATTTGGCTGATGACATTGGAGGGACACCGCTTTACTATGCCATCTTAAGCGACCGTCGCCAATTATTAGAGCTTTTTACAAGAGAAAGAAGTCAGCTGGAGTCAAAAAATGACATGCAAAAAAAGTTCCTACTTTCGGCTGTGAAGGAAGGACATGAACCGGTAGTGAGAATGCTGCTTGAACAAGGTGTCGATGTGGAGTCTAGAGATAATGAACATGGTCGAACCCTACTCTCATGGGCATCTGGCAATGGTCACGTTGCAGTGGTTAAGGTCTTGCTCGCGAAGGATGCACATGTGCAATCCAAGGATTGCCAATCCGGTCGAACACCGCTCTCCTGGGCGGTTGAGAATATGCACTCAGCGGTGTTAGGGCTCCTGCTTGATAAATCTAGTTTGGAGTCAATGGTACATATTCAAAAATTCCGGGACATAGTTGGAGCTATTATCACTCTTCAGCCTTCTGTCTCAGTTGAGACACTTGCAAGTTTCCTCGGAATACCTATGAGTGATATCCTTGATCAACTAGACTCACTGCAACCACTTCGTCCAATCCTTGATATGCCAACAGATCCTAACGCTCTCATCCAATTTTTACATCTACATTTCCAATACTTTCTCCTCCACACGAAAACAGCTCTTCGGGTGGGGAAGAACGAAATGCACAAAATAATAGCTGACCGATGTTTATACATCATGAACAGTTTGCTGAAAGAGAATATTTGTGACTTGCCAAGCATTGCAAGTGAGTTTAAGGACATCAAGGATCAGACAATTGACCAGTGTCTACCCAAACACTTGCAATACTCGTGTTACCATTGGGCATATCATCTGGCGCAAAGTAATGAGCTTGCCAGTGACGAAGTAATAAGCTTTCTGGAACAGCATTTCCTTCATTGGCTGGAAGCAGTGAGTATAATGGGACGAATATATGATGCCATACGTATCTTAAATTTGTTGACAAAGGTATATCCTACCCCAATCTAGTAAGTTGCTCAACAATAATATTTAGGATACAGATCTCAAATTTAATAATCTCGGAGTTTTTATATGATGTGCAGCGACTCATACTCAGAAATATGGCTTGCTCTGCCCCGCTAAAGATTTATTATTCTGCAATTGCTTTTGCTGCTGAGAAGTCAATAATGGACCGCCTCCAAAATGATCCTTTACAGGTGATGAGAATATTACCAACGACTAGGAATTCATGGGGTACGCACCTTCAGACCCTTGAGGGCCATTCAGATAAGGTCAGGACTGTAGCCTTCTCACCAAACGGCCAGATACGGGCCTCAGGCTCCCATGATCAAACCATCCAGCTGTGGGATGCCAAGTCTGGAAAACTTCTCCAGATCCTTGAGGACCACTCAGGTCAGGCTACTACT